GCTGCGGCGGGGGCCGCCCAGAGGAACCAGCCAGCATTTCAGCCAACAGCCCCCCCCAAAGGGAAAAGCCAGCATTTCAGCCAACAGCGCCCCCCAGAGGGAACAGCCAGCATTTCGGCGTTACAGACTCTCAGACACTGGGCTACGATGTATATGATTTTTATTAGTCTCTAAGGTGCTGCAAGACCATTGTTGATGTTTAAGTTGTTTTAATTACAGACTAACACAGCTACCCTTCTAAGACTTTTAAACAAGTAGCAAAAGAGGGTTGCCATGCCACCCTTCCAGAACAGGATCCCACCCTTCCATGGGCCTCAGTTTCAAAAGGTGGAGAAATACACCCTGCTGGCCAACACTCTAAGAGCCCAGGGCTATAAGGTTCAAATCCACGCTCTGGTCCTCAGAGCCCCGGATGAATGGGGCTTTGTACATTCTATAGGTGGCGAACCAGGAAACACATTTTACCTGCTGCTTAGAAACTCACACACCACAGCCTGGGACAATACTTGTTATGTGCTCTCTGTATATTTTGAGCTTGTGCAGCTAGACTTTTTAATGTTTCAAAACCTAAGCTTGACCTCCAATGTGCAGCACCTCTTCCTGAAACCTGCGTTACACAAGTGTGATTTCAAACAATAGCTTTACTAGCATTTAACAGTGAAAGGGCAGCAGTTCCTCCAGAATCCATTTATTTATTTTGGATTATGTTCAAATGGGGAGGCTGCCCTTAAAAAACCCCAACCCATGACCCACTGAGACTGTGGCTGCGTGCCAGAATGTTTCCATTTTCTGTTCTGCTTCTACTCTGGAAAATGCACATTAATGGACACACGTTGTCTGCTGCACACCTTATCAGCTCTTCTGGTATTTGCCTGGGACCGAAGTCAGACTAACCAGCATGTAGTTCCCCAGTCACCCCAATACCCCTTTAGAATGTGGGCACAACAATAGCACATGTCCAATCCTCTGGAATTTCCTTCTGGGATAGGCCGAACCTAACCTCCAAGGTACCACTTGGTGTGCTAGGGTCCCCCTGGTTCTGCCTGTTCCACTAGCCTGAGTTTCCTTGTCTTGTCGTACCTAATTCCACTCACTTTCCTCAGCTTTGGGAAACAAGCAACAAGAGCCGGTTCAATATCTAGGGGTTCCTCCTTTCAACAACACAACAATAAACAGATCAAGCCCCCACTCCCCCCCAGTGATCCGGGACCGTTACATACCACCTGCTGGGCAATCCTGCGAGGCAATGCTTCAGAGGATGAGTGTAGCAAAGAAAGTTTTAATAAAATGAAGTAACATTGCATTAAAGTGGGAGACCATGACAAACAGGGTTCATAACTTACACCCTGGGAAAAAGACCCACCCCAAGGAAGTTGGGAACAGAAAGCTCAACTATTAAAAGTCTAATGTCCACTGTGAGAACCTGCTGGGTGATTCCTGGCTCAGGTCACATGCACACCTTATCTTAAGGGGGAGGGAGGGAGAGCACAATCCATCATGTGTGAAAACAATATGTTTGATCACAGAAGTCATCAAAAGCTGGTACAAAAGTGCCAGCTTGACTGGAATATAAGCAATGATTTATACAACAAGCACCTATTTATAGCTCTAGCATTGTAATACAAATTATATTTGGAATAGAACCATCATTGTGATCTACTAACGCGGAGCAAATAATCAAAGCTGCCAAAGCAGGTATCAGCAACACTCCATTGATTTCCCTTTCAAACACTGGCAAGAGAGCAGGACGGGTTTGGCTCTGGCAAGCCTCGTCCCCGTGATTTGTGTGGGAGAGAAAAAATGAGCAGCACAAATAGGAAAATTTAGAAACTGGCAATCATCTTCAGAGCAGCAGCGTGGATCAGGATGACGGATCCTCCAAACAGTGAAGGGCACATCCCACCGAGAAATACGATGCCTCCTCTGGTAGCTTGTTAATAAGAAAAAGCGGATCAGACAATGGATAGGAAATAATTCCACAGGGACAGAGATCCTACAGCTGGAAACATCTAGTGGAACTTGTTTATGCCAGAGGGACAACGTTAATCCATTTCCCCTCCACAGGATATTCCAGCCTGGGATATACCAGAGACATTCACCTCACTGGCAATATATTTCCCCTGCTTCTTCCCTCCACAGCCTGCTTGTTCTCTTGCAAGAGTCATTGTTGACTCATTTCATCCATGCCAGTCCCAGAGACTCTGGTTAGTGTTTCTTATCTACCGAGTAAGCGTATTCCAGCTATGAGGAAGACATGAGTGAGTAGATCACTGACTGCAGACCTCAGGACTATTATTTCGGATGGGATTTTATTGGCTTTGGGGGAAGATGTAGAGCTGGGCAGGGAGGGGCCGTTCCCTTTTGCGGATGATTCCGATATTGCCACATTTCATTTTGCCCCATTTGAAATGAAAACCAAAAATTTTGGAATTTTTTGCAAATGGCCCCGGGGTAGTGAAGCACACAGGCTGTCCCAGAGTCAGGGGCATGGGAAATCTTGGAGTCCAGGACTCTTAAGCATTCCTATTGTAAAATTTCAATGAGGAAATATTTCATCACGATTTTTCCAATCTGATCTGGAAAAATAGCTGATTGGTCTTCTGAGCAGAGAGATGTACTTCCACCGGGGACAGAGCGGGACTCATTATAAAAGGAAGATTGTTGGCTTAGGGCAGGTGCGGCCAACCCACGGCACTGGGGCAGGGGAGCCGTCCAGATCCAAAATGGCAGATCCAAAAAGGTGGCCGCAGACAGGAGCCTGCTGAAGCCAAAAAGCCTTCTTAAAGTCTGGGCTTTTGGTTTTTTTTTCTGCTCTATCATTTTTTTGCTCTGGCTCGTCGCGCTGGATCCAGCTGGATCTTGGCTCTTCGGCCAGAACAGGTTGGCCACCGCTGGCTTAGAAGATATTTGTTCAGCTTATAGTTCAGAATTCATGGAATGAGGTCTAACAGCTAATTGAAGTTAAGGGCTTTACTTCAATCTCCCATTTCACTGCCGCGTGTAGACGCAGACAGTTATTCCGGACTAGTCAATTTTCAAAATGGCGACTGCCCAGGAACATACTAATGAAGTGCGGGATAGTTAAATCCCTGGCTTCATTTGCAATTTCGGTCGCCCTCATTAGGCTCCCTAGTTTGAACTGTACCCTTAGGGATCATTCTCGCTACATTTTCTTTTCTGAAATCAATAGCACATAGAATTCACCTGAAGAGACCTGAAAATGCTCAGAGACTAGTCATGAGAAAAACTGGATAAATAAACAGAATCCATAGTTAAACCCACTTATTTCTCAACTGGTTTCATGTGACATGTTTGCCCATTGGGGTTGCTCTTGGCTCTGCATTTCAATAAAGAGAGCAAGGTATTGTCAAAATCATATAAAGAAAAAGTTTTTTTCTTACCAGAGTTGTAATCACACGTTTGGTCCTTGTTTCCTATGGTACAAACAGAGGTTCAATGAAATGTGATCGGCCCAGGTAAAATTTTCAACTCTATTCTACTTTTTCCAAAGAAACATGTTAATTGTCAGACTGGGTCCTACCAACAGACTGCATCTAGCCAGGAATCTTGCTTGTCCATGACTGATGTCAGGCCTAACAGCATTGTGGGAAAAAAAAGAAATCCCCTAGTGGACAATTGTGGAATTACTGACACACAGGAAAAGTTTCTTTCCCAACAAAGGCAGTTAGTAATTGCTATATGTCCTCATGTCTAAGGATTGTAGTCACTTTAAAAACAATTGATTTATCTTGTGTAACATAATTGTGGAGATTCTGTCTGTGCTAATTCTTTTTTTTTATTCTGTTGTACTCTTCATATTCTGGAAATTATGTGGCAATGAGTTCCACACGTTTACCCTGCATTATCTAACAGGATATTCCCTTTTACTTCAGCTTATTCTGGTTTTATGAGAAAGGGAAAGTGGCACTCTGATTTGTCACAGTCTCATTTATTATTTTGTGTGTTTCAATCATGTATCTCTTATGGGTGTCCCTTCTTCTAATTAAACCATTTCAGGCTCACCTGTAGAAGTATCTGCACACCTCTCGTCATTTTCAACACTTTTAGATTAGGATCTGATCACACTAGCTTTAATATCCCAGGAAACGCTGCCCCAGGAAAGGCTGCCCCATATGTTCTTATAATGGTGCTGTAATATTTTCATATAACTTTCCATCCCATCGCTCCTTGGGCTTGCTAACATTTTGTTTGCTTACAGGCCTAGCAGCATAGTGAACAGAGATTTTCACTAAGATTGGCACTGAACTCCCCACAATGATGGCCTGGTGTCTGTCTGTGTTGGCCCAGTTCATTAACACCCCAATGACGTTATTTCCCAACAGGCAGCACCTTGATTGCCTGTCAGTGAATTTCACCTGACATGGTGCTGCCCATTCATGCAACTTGGTCACATCGCTCTGAAGTTCCTCACCATCGTCCCTAGCCCTGCCTGCCCTAAATAACGTGCCACCTGTACACTAGGCCACCTGCCTGCTCCCGGCTGGGCCCTGTCAGTGGAGACACAGCCGCTCGACCAGGCCCTGTAGGGGGCATGTGTGTGTCTGCATGTGTGTAAGTAAAACTCACAGCGGTTTGGGACTTTTCCCTGTCTCTCTAGTGAGCCCCTCGTCATGGTATCAAGGCACCTTTTCTGTCCTCAGGGAGCACTTGGGACACAGTATCTGCCCACCCCATCCTGAGTCCTCGCTAGCTTCAAGGGTTATGGAAGCCTGTCATCCCCCAGCCTTGGTAGCAAGTCCCCTTGTCAGTGTCCTTCTCGTCAGCTCTCCCTGTCTTCCCCCCTCTCTGGGGGTTTCAAATTCCCCCACAGCAAACAGCCCCCCATCACATTTCTCCTGTTCAGCCCAGTACTCACTTCCCAGGTACGCGCAGTTAAAGTGGCTGCAGGTCCGGTTTGTGCTCCGGAGGATGTAGCTGTTAATTTTACTCCCTTTTTCTGGAACCACGTAGAACATCTCATGGACTGGGATTAACACTTCTTCCTCCTCCTGATATTTTGAGAAGTTCCTGATGTCAACGCCGAAGCACGTGTGGATGGTGTAAAATGTGTCTGTGCCAAATACTTCAGCCACTTGTTTCTGAATTGATGAAGAGGCAAATTGTCCAAACCTAATGGGGTCTGATCCCGAGTACTGAAATCTAATGTCTGTAACCCCCCGGTACACCGCCATTTTGTACGTCTCATCGCACTTCCCTCGTAAGAGCTGTAAGGCTCTTGTCAAATAATAATGAAAGGCTTTGAAATGAAAACTCGTCATGTAGTTATCTCGAGATGTCCCAGTACTTTTTACTGCATCATTAAAGACACGGTAAAAGGCATTGTCAGTATAGGCTACTATGGCTCTTCCATGCTCATCCTTAAAATCCGGGGGGAGAGAAAGGTCTGGTTTTACTTTTTGCCAGTTTCCTTCTGAGGCATCCCACACTGTTCTAAATAGCAAGGACATGGGCTTTTCTTTCTCTAACAGTCCAGGCACTTTTCCATCCATTTCTTTAGCACATCCTATATATTGGTCATCAAAAGCATCAGGCACCATGTCCATCGCCACCTGGCCTTTTGCCTGGGAAAATAAAGAAAACATATGGTCATATTAGCTTTGTGTTACAGTAGCATCAAGGGAGCTAATCTCTAAAGAAAGAAGGCAGATGAAAAGTGGGAGAAGGGGATGTGAAACTGAAGCAGAGTCCTTGGTTCATTGCTTGACACATGTCATGTTGGTTCTACAATTTTTGGGGTGTGTGTGATGGATTGGAGCCAAAATATTTTCATGAAGTATCATGACCAGAGATCTTGTTACAGTAAGAATTCAGGGTGATGCTTCCTTGCCCGCAAAACACAGCTGCTCACTATTCTTTTGGAATCTTTCTTCCATCCAGTTTCTGCTACTGCCTCTCACATTGGATTCTTAGCACCGTGTATCCATGCTGTGATTTTCATATACTCTTTGCAGGACCTACAGTGCCCATCAATACAAGGTATTTCATTCCCGATTGCACTAGAAAAGGACATGTCAGTCTGTTGTGTGTCACACTGGGACAAATCTCAGAGAAGCAATTTCTCAACACTGCTGTGATGGGTTGTACAACTGGTTAACCAGGGGTTAATAGGAGCTTATGCCCCCATTAGGCTGCTGGGTGGCACTGAGAGGGATGTTACACATAGGCAGTGAACAAATGTAACTGGAGGCTGCGAATATCCCCTCTTGGGCTAAAGGGAGAGAGAAGCCTGGTCTAGAGCCAGAACTGGAAGGTCCAGAGCCAAAAGAAGCTCTGGGAGATTTGGGGCATTGAAACCTCGGGGAGGGTGGGTGTTGGCTTAGGCCAGGAGAAGCCAGATGCTCTGGGAATTGGGGCCATGCCAATTCACAGCCATGAAAAATGTATCACAGACCATGAAATCTGGTCTCCTCCCATGAAATCTGGCCTTCAGTGTGCTTTTACCTTGTGCCATTCAGATTTCATCAAGAAGACCAGCAATTCTCAAATGTAGGGTTTTGACCTTAAAGAGACTTGGGGGGTTGCAAGGTATTTAGCAGGGTTTGCAGTATTGCCACCCTTACTTCTGCACTGTCTTCAGAGCTGGGTAGCCAGAGAGCAGCAGCTGACCAAGAACCCAGCTCTGAAGGCAGCACCCTGCCTGCAGCAGCTAAGAAATAAGGGTTTCAGTACCATACTATGCCACTGTCACTTTTGTGCTGCTGCTTGTAGATCTGGGCAGATGGAGAATGGTAGCTGCTGACTGGGGGCCCACTTATGTAGTCAGCAGCACAAGAGTAAGGCTGGCAATACCATGCCAAGCCCCCTTACTTCTGTGCTGCTGCTGGTGGCAGCTCTGAGCTGGGCTCCTGGCCAGCAGCTGCTGCTCTCCAGCTTCCCAGCTCTGAAAGCAGCTCCACAATAAGCAGCAATACAGAAGTAAGGGTACCATATCTCACCCTCTTCAATAACTTTGTGACCACCTCTCCTCGCGACTCCTTTTTGGGTCAGAGCCCCTACAATTACAACACTATCAAATTTCAGATTTAAAAAGCTGAAATTGTGACATGTATGTGTTTTTCAAATCCAATGACTATGAAATTTACCAAAATTGACTGAATTTGATAGGGCCCCAGTGATGGGAAAGCTCAAGAGGCCTTTAAACTGGAGCATAGGGAGCGGAGGGGAGCGAGGGAGACCTCTGCAGTCCCTCCGTGGGCAGTAAAACGTTCAGAGACCTGAGGAGAACAGGAAGGCTCCTGCAGGGTGAGGAGGAAGCCTGAGCGGGGCAGAAATTGGTTTCCAGAAATTGTTCTGTTCCTGTGGGGTCATATTGGGGAGTTCCAGGAAAAGCCTTCAGAGTCTAGCCCTGACAGAAGGCTGAGCCTGGAGAGGTTGTGGGGAGACAGACAGGGAACAGGCTGTGGTAGGAAGACATCCAAGGAGTCTGATGGAGCAGATCTTTGCTGCTGGTTATAGGGCTCATGGACTGGCTCCCAATCCAGTGAGAGGGCCTGTGTTCCCCAGCCAGGCACTGGGGAGGGTGGCATGGGGCCCTGATTAGACAAAAAGTGTCTAAACTGCTGTAACGGGGAGGGGGACACCCTTTGTATAAGCACCCCTTGGTTGCTGGGGGGAATCTTACAGTCTCTGCTTGCTGGTGTGCAGGCAAAGCAGCATCCAGTAAGTGGCCAAAGATTAGCAGTGAGAGGGCCTGTGTTCCCCAGCCAGGCACTGGGGAGGGTGGCATGGGGCCCTGATTAGACAAAAAGTGTCTAAACTGCTGTAACGGGGAGGGGGACACCCTTTGTATAAGCACCCCTTGGTTGCTGGGGGGAATCTTACAGTCTCTGCTTGCTGGTGTGCAGGCAAAGCAGCATCCAGTAAGTGGCCAAAGATTAGGTCCTGTTTGTAGGGTGTGTCAGCGCGGGGGGGGGGGAGGGAACACAGGCCCCACACTCCTCTGGGTCTGAGGCTAGGGATCCTATCCTCTGGGTCTGAGGCTCGGGATCCTACAAGTAGCAGTTACCTTCAGAGTTTCAAGTATTAGTTGCTGTCACATCCCTGGGCCACTTCCCCAGGATGCAGTTCCATCCAGTCCTTCTCTAGAGTTTCCCTTGTCCAGGGTTCTGCAGGGTTGTCTTTGGCTTCTGAGCTAGCCTTCAACCACCGGACCTGGCTCCAACCAGGTGGGATGCCCAGCTCCCACTCAGAGCTGTCCAGCCCTGAGATCTGCATGGGTCAAGCTCCAAGAAGGAACTGACAGGCCCTAGCATAGAAGCTCTTTTTATATCAGCCTGCTGCACCCTGACTGGCTGCAGCAGAAACTGCTGCTGTTCTAGTCAGAAGACATCTCTACTGCTCCTGTTGCTGGCCAGGGTGCTGAAAGGCCTCCATCAGGGAAGTCAAGCTTTGTCCACCCCATCAGAGCTACTCTCAGTGTGCTTGGTCTTCCCACAGCACAGAGGGCTGCACTAGATGATATTGCGAGGTCCCTTCCACACCTACATGACTTTGGGTCTAAGGCAACCTGGTACCTAACACAGCCTTGAGCAGAAACATAATAAAATAAAGGGGCCTTCATGGGCAAGCTTACCGGAGGGATTTCCAGCCAGGTTTGCAGGCAGAAGTACGTCAAGGGGATCAGCAGAGACTTCATAGTGGTTCCAACTCCCCCCGTGCGGCTGTGGGAGAATCCACCAGGAGAGTCAATGGAGGTTTTGGAGGAAAGAATGTTGCAAAAGTAACCATCGTCCTGCTTGTGTCCCTGTGAGCAGCTGTGCCACACTCAGGAACTGGGGTTTCCAATGCAAAAATTGATCTCTCATGAACCACAGCCCAGCCACTACATGGTGAGGAGGGGGGTGACCCTGGAATACAGTTCTCAGCTGGAAGTCCTGTGAGCTGTTATGTGGGAATCCTGCTCTCATTCCATGGTGATCACACTTATCTAAAGGACTTGGGGGAGGGAGTGTTTCACAGTGCTGCTGTGTTACACGTCAGCGCACTTAGGCTGCACAATACATAGAATCCAGCGGCCAGGCAGGTCTGTCAATCATATAATGGGGAATGGGGCTAAAGAAGTGAGAAAACTGGGAGAACCGTATGGTCACTTGCCTGCCTGGTGCAAAGGTTGCGGATCTCTCGAGGCATCTAGATAGACTTATGTGTAGTGCCCGGGAGGAGCCGGTGGTCGTGGTACATGTAGGTACCAATGACATAGGGAAGGGTAGGAGAGATGTCCTGGAGGCCAAATTTAGGCTGCCAGGAAAGAGACTGAAATCCAGGACTTCTATAGTGGCATTCTCGGAAATGCTTCCAGTTCCATGCGCAGGGCCAGGTAGGCAGGCAGAGCTTCAGAGTCTCAATGCGTGGATGAGACGATGGTGTTGGGAAGAGGGGTTTAGATTTATTAGGAACTGGGGACACTTTTGGGAGAGGGGGAGCCTATACAGGAAGGATGGGCTCCACCTAAACCAGGGTGGAACCAGACTGCTGGCACTAAACATTAATAAGGCCGTAGAGCAGTTTTTAAACTAAGAGATGGGGGAAAGCCGATTGGTGCGGAGATGCATGTAAATCGGAGGGAGACTTCTCTTAGAGGAGAATCCGTTGATAGAGATTCTCTAAGCTGTAGTCAGAAAGAGAGGAGGGGAGAGGGCAAACCATGGGCCAGTGCAGACAAACAACCGCATTCAAAGGAATCCAGTGCATCAGGGAAGGGCAGACAAATAAGCAGTGACAAATTTTTAGAGTGCTTCTACACAAATGCTAGGAGTCTGACTAATAAGATGGGTGAACT